GTTTGGCGGGTCCGGGCTGGGGATTCAAACCCACCACCTTAGGTGTACGTGGCTGGCGCCTTAGCCGGTTGAGCTATAGGCGCCGAGCCTCTCTTTTCTTTCTTAATGAAGTTTTTATTTTGGAATAATTTTAGATTGACAGAAGGTTTGCAAAGATAGTCTTTCCAGTTCCCATACACCCTTGACCTACCTTCTTCCTAGTTTGACGTTTGTCAAAACTAAGATGTTGACAGTAGCACAGGACCACTAACTAAACCACAGACTTTGTTCAGGTTTCACTACTTTCCCACTAATTTCTTTTTGAGACAGAGTCTCACTTTGTCACCCTTGGTAGAATGCTGTGGTGTCACAGCTCACAGCAACCTCAAACTCTTGGGCTCAAGAGATCCTCCTGTCCCAGTCTCCTGAGTAGCTGGGATTATAGGCACCCACCCCAATGCCCAGCTATTTTTAGAGATGACGTCTTGCTCTGGCTCAGGCTGGTCTTTAACTTGTGAGCTCAAGCAATCCACCTGCTTCAGCCTCCCAGAGGGCTATGATTATAGGAGCGAGCCACTGTGCTTGGCTTAATGTCCTTTTTTTGTTCAAAGTCCCATGCTGCCTTTAGCCACCATGTTACTTACTGACTTGTAGTCAGTTAAGTGTCATATTTAAACTTGCTTGGGAAAGAAAAAAAAATTAAAAATTGTCGCTATATAAAAATGGCCACTCTTTGATTCCTAAGTGTGGCCATTTGTTTCTTCACCACTATACTGAGGTCCAGAAAACTGTCAGGCACTGCTGACTCAGGCCACATGCCAGCACACCTTTCTCCTGGCAGCATCATTAAAACTAGGTGTGGCCCAGCATTTACTCAGGCTCTGTGGACCTGGTACCCACCCCTCCTGAGGCAGGCTTCTGAAGTTCCTCATCACCTTGAGCATAGGGTTAGGGCAGGCCAGAGTGACTTTCAACATCCCCCGCACCTTCCTCCCAGGACCACGTCTGTGGCTTTGCTTCTGTTCCCTTGCTGGCATCTTTAAAGAGCAGATGAACAGGCCCCTGGCTCAGATCCCAGCTCTGCTACTTACTAGCCATATCACCCTAGGCGTATCACATGATCTCTCTTTGCCTCAGTTTCCTTACCTGGAAAATGGGGGATGGTGAAGATTATGTATCAAGACCACACAGAGCCTGGTGCTGGGAAGTGCTATCACTATGTCAACCTTGCCCACTGGCTCCAGCCTTCTGTGTCCTTTAAATGGCTCAGATGAGAGTATCTTTGTCTTGTGACTATGAAACTACCTGCCTCACTCTTATGGGGCCTCCTTTAGTTCTCATGCTTATGTGCTTATTCAACTCCAAGACCTCTGCTTCGCTCCCCAGCCCCCACCTGAATTCCAGGACCCCAGAGTAGCCAGCTTGGTCAGACACAGGGACATGGAGGTGAGGAAGACGCAGCCATGCCCTTAAGGACTTGAGGCTTGGCAGGCAGGAGACATAAAATTAGACAATCAGGCTGGGCACGGTGGCTCATGCCTGTAATCCTAACATTCTGGGAGGCCCAGGCAGCGGATCACTTGAGCTCCAGGAGTTTGAGACCAGACTAGCAAGAGTGAGACCCTGTCTCTACTGAAAACAGAAAAACTACCTGGGTGTTTTGGCAGGTGCCTGTAGTCCCAGCTACTCTGGAGGCTGAGGCATGAGGATTACTTGAGCCCAAGAGTTTGAGTTTCCTGTGAGCTATGATTCCATAGCACTCTACCCAGGGTGACTGAGACTTTGTCTCAAAAAAAAAAAAAAAAATTAGGCTCAGCGCCTATAGCTCAGTGGCCAGGACACTAGCCACATACGCTGGAGCTGGCAAGGTTCAAAACCAGCCCAGGCCTGCCAAACAATGACAACTGCAACCAAAAAATGGCCGGGCGTTGTGGTGGGCACCTATAGTCCCAGCTACTTGGGAGGCTGAGGCAGGAGAATTACTTGGGCCCAGGAGTTTGAGGTTGCTGTGAGCTGTTATGCCATGGCACTCTACCGAGGGTGACATAATGAGACTTTGCCTCAAAAAAAAAAAAAAATTAGACAATCACCACACACTGTGTCCCCTCACAGGTTCTAATGACCCCTGGGCCTCAGGGATTCCTAGCTCTATTGGTTCCTCTGTGACTGGTCTCTATAGAGAGGGTGTCTCTCCCCATAGGCAACCCTCTCTGCTCTAGGGCCCCCCAGCTGGGGACAGGAGCCAGCAGTCCCCCCACCCTCGCCTTGGCTTGCCAGGACCTGCAGAACCTCAAACTCTGAAAGGGGGACATCTCACCTACCAGCTCTTTCAGGACTGCTTACTGGGCACTAACCCCACACCAGGCACAGGCCTGGGTATTTTATATCTAAAAGCTCATTTCTCACCTCACACTAGTTCTATAAAGGCTCCTGCTATAGTAACCTTACAGATGAGGAAGCTGAGGCACGAGGGGCTACTGTGTTCAAACCAGAAAGTAGGAGAGATGTGAGTTCCATCTGATGGCATCCAGAGTCCCTGGTAGTAACACCTCCCACTGTGACCCAGGAGTTTGGAGCAAGCCATGAAGACTGCCCTGTGGGTGGGGAAGGAACGTGTGTGGGGGAACAGCCAGGAGGAAGCTGAGCCCTGGGGGAAGGGCCGTCCGCTCACCTGCAGCAGCTCCAGGTCAGCAGGCTCAGCCTGGGTGGGTACCAGCTCCGTCAGCATCTCCGACATCACCCTCACGTTCCCATTCACCATCTCCAGCTCGCTGCGCAGCTTCCCGATCTGGAACACACCATGGGCCACAGTGGTGAGAGAAGCCAGGGGTCTGGAGCTGTGCCTCGGAAGGGGACAGAGCCCAGCACCGCCAGCCCTGGGTGGGGCCCTGGGGTGCTGCCTGCCAGCCAGCCAGCCAGCACTGTCCTAGGCAGCCCCATGCTTGCCCCCTGAGCTGCAGCCCTGCACTAACAGGCTGTGGTGGGCTTGCCCCACCCCTACAGACCCCTTACTGAGGTGCTACCAACCGTCACCATCTCCAAACTGGGGAGCCTGATACAGGGAGAGGCTGAAAGGAAACAGCTGAGTGGGAATGAATCACTGAGTGTCTGGAAGACTCCAGCATCTCCTGGGCCCAAAGTGGCAGCTAACAAGACCCTGGAGGGCAGCTGTTCCAAGGGGAGAAGGGAGGTGACAAGCTTTCTCTCTGCTCCTAGGAGGACTAGGATTTGGCTGTCTCTGTTCCTAGGAGGGCTGGATTTTGTTTTGCTCCTGGCCTGCTTTAGTGTCCCAGGCTCATCCAGGGACGAGTCCTAGCCTTGTGACAAGTATGAAGCTTGGACTGGGTGCTTTTACCATAGGATGTCAGCAGGTTTTCAGTGATCAGAGCATTCTAAGGACTTGGACTTGGGAAAATACTGCCAATTAAGTTACAGTCTCTCCAGTATGTTAGGGTGTGAAAGGCCACTGGTCTAAGTGTGTTATGCCGTGGGACCTTGGAGAGAGTTTAATATCCTCATGTACGCCGTGTCCACTGCGAATGCCCAGGAAGAAAGCAATAGACGTTTCCAAAGTTTATTTGACTGAATAACCCTTTATCATGGAATAAGCTCACAGGTCTAGCATTCAGAGAACTACATTTTGGGAAATACTAGTATATTCCAAATTGTGTAGCCATTCTGTAGTTGATTTCAGAATATGAGGGTCTCTACACATAGTCCCGGTGATTGTGATAGCAGCTACCGTTTACTGGCTGCCTAATATGTCACTAATCTAACCTTTTCCACAGATAGAGATCATTATCCCAGTCTTCAACAGGGGAAGAAACGGAAGTGCAGAAATAGATGGTATATCCACTATGGTTCATGGACAACTACTAAAACCTGCAAAATATTTTATAGCTTTGGCTTAATGAACTCAGTATAAGTGAGTGGAAAAAAACTTGTCATCACAAAGCCAACTTATCCAAATCAGAAGGGACTTAATTACAGAGGTGTCTGGGAGTAACATCAATGTACACCTGAACGTCTTAATGTGTCCCAGGAGACAAAAGGGACTCTGAGATTAAACAAAGACTACTCAGTTTTGTTAAGCAAGAACCTTCTTTCAACTAGAAGTAATCAGAATCTTAATCTACATACATGTTAGATTTTTAGGGAAATTGGTTAAAATCCTAACCAGGCTGGATAATTTGGGGGGCTACACAGAAGTTGTGCAATTTTTTATGTACCTTTAATTACTTTGCCCAGTTATGAAACTTTTCTAGTAATTTTTGTAACTCTAGGGGGTGATTTCATAACTTCCTATGAGATAACAAATTACCAAAGTTTCTCTTCAGAGAGGTTAGGGTGAGAATAAGTCCAAGAGACACATACAAGTGGTCACGGGGGACAGTTCCTTGGAAAGTTAGGCTTCACTTTCCTTTCTATCAGGTATCCATTTTTCTCACCATCTAAGCCTTGACGTTTAGCTGGTGTTTTGAGTTTAAAGTGGGCACCGCTCCCCCCCCCTCCAACGTGCAGGTCTCCACCCATTCCTCAGAAGCCAGGGCGAGGATGCTGAACCCCCAGCTGGCAGTGGCTACAGCTGTTGAAGTCCCTGAGCAGGCAGAGCAGCTTTGACACTCTACAGACAGTTCCTGGCCAACAGGCAAATCACCTTACCTCCTGCTTGGGGAGGAGAAACTGAGGCACAGAGACTGCCTAAGTCAGTGTGCAACCTACTCTGAGGTGAGTGATCCTTCGAAGCCAGTCACGGGGCCTTGAGAAAACCTACCCTTCTAGAATCTCATACTAAACCTCAAAACTTAAGGCTTTGTAGAAAGCTGCATGGTGCAATGCAAATGTTTTTTATTTTTGGCACAGATGTTTTAGTTCAAGTGAAACCGTCTGGGAGCAAATAAGCAAACCACACAGAGGGGGGCTGCCCTGCTGAAGGGGGTTGCTTGCTGGGCGTCTCCTCTCCATGGTGTTGTGCTGAGGGACAGGGCAGTGTATGTCAGGACACAATAGGCCTAAGCCTGAGTCCCAGCTGTCTCTTGTGAGCTGTGTGTTCTGGGCAAGTGAATTTACCTCTCTGAGCCTCATTTCTCAACCAGGAAGAATCATACACACTTTGTGGGCTGCCGTGGGGATGAAGGGAAGGGTTGGCAGGCAGGAATTTCCATACTGACAGAGACCCTCCCTGCTATGAATTGGAGGGTGCTGGGCTCACCTGCTTGATCTGATGCTTCTGACCCAGGCTTGTTTACCTGCTCAGGGGTTGGCGCTATGGGTGTGTCACCAGGGAGTATGGCGGGGGTGGGCAGAGGGGCAGCATGCTGGTTAGAGTCCCCTCGCTGACTAGTGTCGGTGCCCATTGAATTCTGTCCTGATGATGTCTCCGAGTTGAACACAGTCTAGAGGGGAAAAGACAGGGTCAGTGAGGCCTCTGGGGAAAAACAAGGGCCAGGAAGTTGGGGCTTGCGGGAAGGCCCCCTCTGGGGATAAGCCCTGCCTCCCTTGTCATGTTTCCCGACATGGGGACTCTCCTCACCCTCTGGGGCGTGTGGATGGGTGACAGCATGTCTAGGTCAGTCATGGGGAACTCCAGGCCCTTCCTTCGCAGGTCCTCGTAGACGGTGACGACACCTGTCAAATCAGGCGAGCTGCGGAACGCGTCAGCCCAGGACTGAGAGGGGACAAGGGGACATGGCCGGTAACCACTGCTTGCCTTCTCTCCTGCAAGCCCACCTCCCCTGACACCCAGAGAGGGAATAGAAATTCTTTTCCTGACGTGCTGATCCCTTTACTGCCCCTGCCCAGCCCACTCTGCAGCACACAACTTAAGTCAACAAGCCTCCCTTGACCCAGAACAACCATCAGCATACAGCCAGGAACCCCCCAGCCCCAGTGAGAAATGGAGCCTGGGACAAACACAGTGGCGAGGGGCACCTCCTTCCTGCCCAGAGCCTAGAGCTCTCCACTGGGAAGGATGCTCCTTACCCGGCAGCTCTCCCCAGCCCTGCCCTGGGACTCACCTGGATGAGGTTGAGCACCTTGTCGTGCACGATGGTGGGGGGATTGTTCTTGGGCAGGATGGTCCTCACCAGCACACTTTCCACGAAGTCCTGGCTAGCCACCAGCATGTGGAAGCGGTGCCCACAGTTCTTGACACAGGTTTCTAAGACCTGGAAGGCCGAGAGTTACCTGTGACCACCCCAGTCAGAGGGAGGGGGTGCCCGGGACCTCTATCCTCTTCCTATTTTCAGGGGCCTGTTTACTGGAGGGTCCAGCCTGGGATGGGCCAGGGGTAGGGTGTAGGCTGGAATTCTCTCCCTGTCTGGTGTCATTGCCCACAGAATCTGGATGTTACTTCTGAGCTGAACGAGGTCTAGAGGGGCTCTCCAAGAGGAAATCAAGAGGACTGAGCTTGCAACCTATTGGTGGCCCTGCGGTTGGAGGAAAAGGCACTAACTCCCTCCAGCCCTCGTTTCCCACTTCCTAGCAGAGCTTCCCTTGCTTCTCAGTTTAGATTCACCGGGATATAAACGCTGCTTGCGGGGGAGGCTGGGACAGTGTGCCTCCCCTCAGCTGTCCTGACAGGGAGGATGCCCACTCATACCCGGCTATCCTGGGGTCTGACAGGCTCAGTGGGAGCCTGTGGGAAGGCTTTCTCAGCTACTGGCATATATTTTACACTCATCTCTCAGGGCACTAGAGAGCTTGGCAGCACTCAATTCAGTCTGCCAGGCCCCTGACCCCCCCAGAGTAAGCTCTTTGGTCTAGGCCCTCCATGCCAGTGGTTCTAGAGGGACACAGCTTCCGTGTGTCTGCTCCCATGCCAGGGAGCTGGGGAGGACCTTTCAAATGCCTTCTCTCGCCATTCCATGTCCATCAGCAGCATAGACAGGACAGTGCTTTGCCCATAGAACTTCCCTTCCCAGCCCTCAGATGAGGAGCCCAAGGGTCTGAGGAGACGCAGTTTGTTCAGCGGACTGCAGTCCTGCCATGGGATGGACAAATGGACAGGGGGGCACTCACTGTGAGAGCCAGCATCACCTCGTGGAAGTTCTTGTTCCCCATGATTCTCTTCTTCACTGCTCGGACAGCATCTTTGGGACTAGGAAGGACAAAAGGAAGGACGGGCTTAGGAACAGAGCCTGCTCGACGACAGCCAAGAGGCCACACAACTGGAAGGGCTCTCACGCCCCCCCATATCCAGGTTCTGATCATACCATGTGCCAGGGGACAACCCACCCTGCCAAAACCTTCTCAGGAGGCCATGGCTACTTAGCAGGGCTTCTCAAAGAGTGGTCCTTGCATCTCCTACATCGGAATGGGGGTAGGTGTGAATATATGTTAAAAATGCAGAACCTTGGGGTGGCACCTGTGGCTCAAAGGAGTAGGGCGTGGGCCCCATATGCTAGAAGTGGCAGGTTCAAACTCAGCCCTGGCCAAAAACTGCAAAATAAATAAATAAAATAAAAATGCAGAGCCCTGGGTCCCTACCCTGTACCAGCTGATCTACATTTGCAGGGTGTGGGGCCCAGAACCTGCATTCTTTGTGTGGCCCCCCCTGCCCCAGGGGCTTCTTATGCATGCTGGAGTCTGAGAATGAATAAGCTGCAGCCCCATGTGGCCAGCTCCTCTATCTGTTCATCCCTCCTTCCAGTCAAGTCTTACTAGGCCCCAATAGGTCCGGGGCACCACGCTGGGCGTTGGAGACACTGGGGACAAGACTACACAGCCTTGCTTCCAAGTATCCCATGTTTGGGGGCGATCCAAAGAACAGAAGGGAATTAGCAGATCCTGGGGGAAGGGTGGGGCAGTGAGAGAAGACTTCTAAGAGGGTGGCACTGTAGCTGATATGAAGGTGTGGAGGACCAGCTGGTGGGGTGGGGGTGGGGCTGAACTGTTCATGTCGAGGCATGAGTGTGGGGAAGACTTTAGTGCCTCAGCGGAGCTATAAGGGAGGCCACACCAAGTTGGGAGAGGTGGCAGGAGGGTAGGGTCACAGGAGGGAGGATGGGTACAGCTAGGAGTGGTGGGAGACCTGGAAGCCTGGGAGGCAGCCTGCTTTTCCTGCCGGGTCCATGGCTCTCCAACTGCCCTCTGCCTGCAGGCCTGTACAGTACTGTAGTCAGTGTCATCCCGACTGCCCGCCCCCCTCTGAAGGCTCTCGATCCCCAGGAGAAGGCCCAACTAAAATCTACTCCCTCTACGATGCTGTCCCAAGTCGTCCAGGCTTCCTGGCATGTTCTGCAAGTGACACTGACCCAGGGGCCATGCTGGGTAGAGAAGAAGCCTCTTAGAGGATAGGGACAGTGTCGTTTTTGAACACCTTCTCCCCTGGAGCTTGGCACACTCAGGAGCATGAGTAACAAACATTTCCTGGGCTGGGGAGTGTCAGCTGAGGCCTGTCCATCTATCTGCCTGCCTGTCAGTGCCAACAAGTACAGAGAGAAGTCAGGGGAGTCTGGAGCCCTGGTCTAGGTCCTCAGCAGGACTGACAGAGGTAAAGCATTCCAGGGACGGGGCCTGGATGAGAGGTGGGGCCGTGGGGCGGTCAGGGTTATGCAGTAGAGAGAGTGTGGCCAGGCAGATGAGGGGCTGCCTGCACAGGGAGGAGGGGACCTTGGCTCAGAAGCCTGAGAGCAGTTTTCAACTTGAGCCTTGCCCTACCCTGGATCCTTCTGGGGAGAAGCAGGTTTCTGTTTCTGGCTTGGCCACTGACCCACTGGCCACTTTAGGGCTCTACAGAGACTTGTTTCCATTTCTTACAGGAGGACCTAAGGAAAGGTTGTGGCACCGGCCATAGGAGTTCTGGCCTGTGCCTCTGCTGTGGGCCTCCAGGTGTCTAGTACTCCACTAGCAGCACAGAGTGTGTGACAAGGAAGCCACAACCCAATGGAGAGACTAAAGTTTAGCTGACACATTTGCTTGGTGACGTCAGGGTCATGCTTGTCTCTGTTCACTGCTTGATCTCCAGTGCCCATCCACAGGAATGACTCAAATAAATAGCAAATAAATAATAGTGCATCTGACGGACCAGTTCGTCCCACATTTATAAGGGATGTGGCCGGGGGTGTGGTCACTGTCTCCAAAGATACTGTGGTGACTTTCAGCTCCCAGGCCTTTGTAGAGGCTCATGAGGTTTTCTGCCCATCTTCTCTCTTGGTGGCCCTGCCATGTGCCCACCACTCCTACCACCCACCCTCACTCTGACGAGACCAGGGGACACGGGTGAGGAAGACCCTAGGAAGCCTGGCAGTCACTGCTCTCTCCTTTCTGGGCCCGACTGTGTGATTCAGATGCCCACGGCCTGCCTCCAGCTGGGAGTGGGATGCTCCCTGCCTCCTGCCTGTGCCCAGCCTGGGCTTCCACATGCACAGCACTGTGGGCAGAGAGGAACATTCTATATCGTCTGAGGGATAACTGGATTACCCTAGTGAAAAATACAGAGGGAAACAAGATCCTGCTTTAGGTACAAATCCCGACTTCCTAGACAGAGGCCTGACAGCACTTCCTGCTGGCCATGGCCCCCACAGCCTTTGCTGGGTTTTTCTGAGAGGACAGAGGCCCTCACATCTCCAGGGACTTGGGCTTATTGCTAGAAGGGTCTAACAGAACTTTGCCTTTGAGGACAAGGACCTAGAGAGGTAAAGTGACTTGCCCTAGGTCACATAGTTGGGCAGTGACACATAGTCAGACATCAGAAACCAAGACCCCAAGGCACCCCCACCTGGGCACCCTTGGTTCCTTGGCACTGAGCAAGAGCATGCCAGGTCTCCAGCCCGAATGGCCTTGTTGGCCTCAGTTCCATTGTACTTTCCCTGTCCTCCTCGTGATACCCTGCCCTCTGGGCTGGTTTCACATCTTATGGAAATGAAAGTCTGTTTTTGTTCACAGAGAAGAGCTGGTCGTCTCTAATGCCTATTCCAGGCCACAGAATGCAGGCGGCGCTTGTGGTCAACTTCTAATTGTAAGTCTCCAGCTTGCCTGTGCTGGGGAGACACAGGCTGGGGTTCCAGATCCCAGTGGAATCTGGGCTGCTGCTGAAAGAGGCTGGGTGGGGTGGCAGCACCCAGGGGCACACAGAAGCACTCTGGCCAGCTGTCCACCCACCATGAATTTGTTTTGGATGGGGCTCCAGGACTGGGGACTAAAGACAACCTCTGCAGCCCTCTTTTTTTTTTTTTTAAGAGACAGAGTCTTATTTTGTCACCCTCAGTAGAGTGTTGTGGCGTCACACCTCACAGTAAGGGTCCTCAAACTTTTTAAACAGGAGGCCAGTTCACTGTCTCTCAGATCACTGGAGGGCTGGATTACAGGCCCTGGGATGAGTCGGATGCTAAGCAGGACAGGCAGTGGTGGCAAAAACACCCAGCAGGCTGGATAAATGTCCTTGGCGGGCTGCATGTGGCCTGCGGGCTGTAGTTGAGGACGCCTGCCTCACAGCAACCTCCAACACCTGGGCTTAGCCTCCCGAGTGGCTGGGACTACAGGCTGCAGCCCCTTTTGGATGGAGGGCCACGAGTAGGGTGGCCATAGCAGTGGTGGCGCTGAGGCAGGGGCTCCCTAAGGGTGCAGGCATGTGCTGTGCTGTGGCTGGCTATTCTGCTGGTGCCCCCCACCCTCTCCTAGGGGGGCCCTTACCCTTCCTCGGTCTCATTGATGATGTCACAGATCTCCATGTTGAGGGCCCAGTCCTCACTCTGCAGGGAGCCATCTGTTGCTTTCTCTGAGGAGAAAACACAAGTCATGAAGGTGTGTGTGGGGGTCCCAGGTGAACAAACTCAAAGAGTAGGGTGGGGAAAGGTGGGTCAGGGCAGGAAGAGTTGGGGGAGGTGGGAAGACAATGGACGCTCTGGGTACCCAAGACAGGCCAGCACTGGATAAAATCACTTTATATACATTACCCTGTCGTTACTCGATTCTAGAAGTAGCCACCTAAGGCTGGGAGGACCCTGCCCTTCAACAGGTGAGCAAAGTGTGGCCCCAAGTCCACCACGTGGATGAGTGGGGACACAGCCCAGGCAGGTCCTGGAGAGCTTGTTATTTTTTTTTGAGACAGAGCCTCAAGCTGTCCCCCTGGGTAGAGTGCCGTGGCATCACAGCTCACAGCAACTCCAACTCCTGGGCTCAAGCGAGTCTCCTGCCTCAGCCTCTCAAGTAGCTGGGACTACAGGCGCCCGCCTGGCCATTTTTTGGTTGCAGCTGTCATTTGTTGTTTGGCAGGCCCAGGCTGGATTCGAACCCGCCAGCTCAGGTGTACGTGGCTGGCGCCTTAGCCGCTTGAGCCACAGGCGCTGAGCCTCGGAGAGCTTGTTTTTGACATGGCAACATACAGACAGTGTTTTGCTTTGTTTTAGTAAAGAAGACATTCCTTCGTGCCTTCATATTATCTTTTGAGCAGTAACAAGCTCTAAAGCAGTACAGGACTGAGAGTAACCTACCTCCACTGCGCCTAGCATCCCACCACTCAGAGCCCCCACTCTAACCAGTCTCCCCTGAAACTCCCCAGAGGCCTTCCTTACCCTAGGCAAGGGTGACTTGGCCTTCTTGTCCCCTTTTGAGCTACAGTTTCTGTCCATATATTGGGCTAATGTGCAGCTACCCTGCAGAACTGTGCCAGGGAGTAGTGATTTTTTTTTTTTTTTTTAAACACAGTCTCACTTTCTTGCCCCCGATAGAGTGCGGTGGTGTCATAGCAACCTCAAACTTTGGGCTCAAGTGATCCTCTTAACTCAGCTTCCCATGTAGCTGGGACTGTAGGCACTCGCCACAATGGTTGGGTATTTTTTTTCAGAGACAGGGTCTCGCTCTTGCTCAGGCTGGTCTCGAACTCGTGAACTCAAGTGATCTACCTGCCTCGGCCTCCTAGAGTTCTGGGATTATAGGCATGAGCCACCAAGCCTGGCGAGGAGTGATGATTTTGGTAAGATATTGGCATGATACTTGCATGTAGTAAGTGCCCAGCAAGTAGAAGTGTTTTTTTTTTTTTTGAGACAGATTCTTACTATGTTGCCCTGGGTAGAGTGTTATGGCATCACAGCTCACAACCAACTCTAGGGGCTTAAGCTCAATCTCCAACTCTTGGGCTTAAGCGATTCTCTTGCCTCAGCCTCCCAAGTAGCTGGAACTACTGGTGCCTGCCAAAATGCCTGCTTTTTTTAATTGTTGTTGCAGTTGTTATTGTTGTTTCGGCTGGCCGGGGCCAGGTTTGAACCCACCACTCTCGGTATATGGAGCTAGCGCCCTACCCACACTGAGCCACAGGTGCACTGCCCTGGTGGTTCCTTCCTTTTTTTTTTTAAATTTTTTGTTGCAGTTTTTGGCTGGGGCTGGGTTTGAACGCGCCACCTCCAGTATATGGGACTGGCGCCCTACTCCTTGAGCCACAGGTGCTGACCCGGTGCTGTTCTTTTTTTAAAAAATTAAAGTGATGGTCACATAACATAAAATTAACCATATAAAGTATATAATTCAGTAGCATAGCATTTAGTACATTCACAATGCTGTGAACTCAATCACCAACAACTCTATCTAGTTCCCCAACATTTTCACGTCATGGGGATTCCTAGGGTAAGATTTCCAGGCAAGGAGTTGGCTGTGGAGTTCTCGAAGTTTGTCAGAACCAAGCTGAGATCAGCTTGGGGACAAGTACCAGGTAGGCAGACTTTTGTAAACTCTAGTGTGACAGGGACCCAGTGATGTTAGAGAATGACTTGTTCAGGAACCAACAATGGTGGGACCTTTTTTTTTTTTTGAGAAAGGAGACTCAAGTTGTCCCCCTGGGTAGAGTGCCGTGGCAACACAGCTCATGGCAACCTCCAACTCCTGGGCTCAAGCGAGTCTCCTGCCTCAGCCTCCCGAGTAGCTGGGACCACAGGCGCCCGCCACAATGCCCAGCTATATATTTTTTTTGGTTGCAGCCATCATTGTTGTTTGGCAGTCCCAGGCTGGATTCGAACCTGCCAGCTTGGGTGTACGTGGCTGGCGCCTTAGCCACTTGAGCCTCAGGTGCTGAGCCAATGGTGGGACCTTTATAAACGTTCTTTGACAAAGAACACTTGCCCTCCTCTCAAACCCATGGCCTGTCTCGCTGTCTCCCACACTGCTGAGACGTCATCCTTGTGCAGACCAGTCTGACCACAGGGGACATGGACAGCTTGTACTCTGCTTCTTGTAGGCAGCTTTCTATCGTGTGTCACTTTCTATCATGTATAATGTCCGCTGTATGTGCAGGACTGGGTGACAAGACAGGCCTTGCTCAACATTTTAAGGTTCAGAGAGTGAGACCCTTGGTATCGTGCTGCAGGCCATTACCCAGGTTCCCCTGCCCTGTGGCCCTCAGGCTCTCTCTGGTCTCTGGCTTCCAAACCCTGGTTCCAGACATGGAGTGTTCACACGTCTGATGGCTGCTGCAGCTATCCCGCTGGCCTCAGGGCACCTGATGACAGGCCTGTCTGGAACACAGGCACTGCCAGCTGTCTATCATCTACAAAGAGCGCTCGACAGATTGGGCACACAGAACTCATTATCCCACGTGAGGTCACGCTGGTCTCAAGGTGGTTCCTGCATCACTACTATAGTCAGGTCAGCTGAGGCTTGAGAGGGTGTGTGCTCCTCACTTGGTGCATAGCTACTGGCCAGGCCTGTTCCCAGCTCTAGGGTGCCCCAAAGAGGTCATGGCGTATTCTAAATTAGATCCATGAGGGGACGGAGGAAGGCAGTCTCCCTGTGACTGGGCAGGGCTCTGCCAGCCAGGCCAGCACAGCCAGCTCTCCAAAGCTGCGGTTTCCGAGACCTGGTTTTTGAAATTGGCCAGACTCCAGTTCTACCCTCAGGTCTTGAAGGTGGCCCAGGACACATGCCAGGCAGCTGAAGCAGAAGGGAGCTTGCTTTACCCCTAGATTATGGCCGGAGGGGAGGAGATGAGGACGGGTCCCCTCCAAAAGATAGACTTCCCATCCTGTGAACCGCTCCCTGCCTGTGACTTCTCTGCACCACACTCCCCACCCTCTAGGACTCCCACACTTTACAGAGCCACCCCGGACAGAGTGGGCTGAGCAACTTCTCAAGGACAGAGTGGGCTGAGCAAGTTCTCCTTGAGCAGAAGGCCATGCCCTGCTCTGAGGGCTTGAGGGGTGCTGGTTAATCCTGTTTGTCAGCGGCAACAAGCAGAGCCTGCTCTTCTGTCCGACACCACATCACAGCAACCTCAGTCACACGGGCCAGAAGGATTAGCGACATTCCTGACTCCTGGTCTGCATCTAATGGCCACAAAGTCCCATCCAGCCCAGCTCCAGGATCTCTCTCCATCTCTATCCCCTGTGCTTACTCCTCTCTCACCCCCCAATCCCGACTGCCCTTCTCAATAGCCCTGCCCCACAGGGAACCTTCTGAAACTTGAAAATGACTATGTCCCTCCTGTGCCCAAAGATCCCCAATCTTCAGCCTGGCCTATGTGCTCTTCTACAGTAATAATATTTTAACTTCCCAAGTGATATGCTGCTTAATATCAAGCATCATTAGCTATTTACAGGAAGAATAAGACTTAATCCTCATGCCCTACAGAGTGTACATTGTTGCCCTCATCTGACTAATGAGGAAACTGAGGCACAGAGAGGCCAGTGACTTGGAAAGGTCACACAGAGGTATAGGAGGGGTGGCTACTGATGCTGGCGCAGGTCTCCCCCATCTCTCAGTGGGGGCAGGAAATTCTGCTTTCCTAGAAGTGTCCTTCCCAACCACTCGTGCAATGTGCCCTCCCCTCTCCAACTCCAGAGCCACTGGCAGACCTCTCAGCAGCCCCTTTGTAGATCCCCTTCTGACCCTCAGGTTCCCCTGAAAACAATGGCACCTCTCTTCTGGGGGAGAGAATGTCAAGGGCTTTAGAAGGGATTATGGCTACTTTGGAAAAGCAAGTGGCTTTCAAGGAGAAGTTGGACTTTTTATATAAGAGAAATCTCACACTGGGGGATCAGGTGGGGGGAGCAGAAGAATCCCCAGAACATGAGTCTGATGCAATTTGGGCAGCGCTGGTCAGCTCTTCAGACTTGAGTGGTAGCAGTGGGCAGGGCAGTTCAGAAGATGGCCATTCAGGTGGGGGTAGGGACCTGTGACCTAAACAGGAAATGGGCAAGGAAGAGGCAACAGCAGGACAAGACTCTTCTGAGCAACTGCAGGAGACAGCAGTGGGGAGGTTGAGGGAGATGCCTGGCCAGACCCTCACCTGCTGCTTTCCTCCAGCTCTGGGTGGGGAGTGCAGAGTGGGAAGGGCTAAGGGACTTCAGATTTCCATGGGGTAGGCGTCATCCATCAAGGGCAGAACTTGAAACCCACAGGAATCAGGGCGTATTTGTTTTGGTCTAACTCAGCCTGCTATTTTAAGAAGGGGGAACAACAACACTGACCATGGTCACTCGGGGAAATCTAACTGACTCCTTCACCTTGGAGCTATTGGCAGGAACCTTCAAGGTCCCCTGGGTAGCAGCTGTGCTCCTGTCTCCCAGATCCCATGGGAGCCAGGCCCTGCAAACCTCTGCTTGTCATTAGCAGCTTTGCTGTTGGCTAGGGCTGGCAGGCCTGTGGTTTTGGATCATTGCTCACCTGCGTTCAGCAGTTTGCCCTCTCTGTGTGGGGCCTGGTGCAAACGCTGCCTCTCCAGAGGGCTCCAGATATCCTGGCCTGGCATAATGGTAAGACCCATGTGCCCCTCACAGAGAATCAGGACAG